CGGGCTTCCCTTCGATCCATGACTTGATCACGATCCAAATGAAATTTTTTACATACCTCCGCTGGCTAGCAAAAAGCCACAATAAACATAATAATTTTATTTTAGGGAAGAGACAGGATTCAGTATTCACTATAAGCTTCTTCTTTCTAGTAAAATTTGGATTTAACAGTCGAATCTGAAATATTAATTCGTTGAAAACAAATATTATTAATAACACTAAAGTTTATTGTTCCAATTTCAATGTTGCAGTTATAATACAAGTTTATTTTATTTCAACTTCAGTAACTCATAAAGAACAAAACAGCTTTTATGTTGAGTAAAATCCATATGAATGAAAAATGTTTGGTCTTTATTACTTTGATCTAAACTCAACTATAGTTCGTCTACGCTGGTGTTATGAAAGCATTCAGTACACCCTTCCTGTAAAGTATAACGCAGGTAAAACCATCAGTCCCTAAAATAATTTTAAGCTTTATTCATAGCACTTTAAGATTAAAAGTAGCTATAGAAGTTTCGAGATTTAGGTGTATTCACATGTGGCTCGCTGTACACTCTCCGGACTATGAATAGAACCGGTTTCAATTGAACAAAATAAAAGTAAGCTTTTAAAGGTCATTGTCGATAATGCACGCTCGACTTAGCCGATTTAGTTTCCAAATAGGTATTGTTGTCGGTTAATGTTTTGACATTTAATGTCAGACTCCCAAATTTTATAAAGATTCTTTATTTGAAAGACCTAACTGATTTTTCTAGCAAATTTTGAGAATATTCAAATAGGTAAAACTACCTACGGTAAAATCGCAACACGATTACTACGTGGGGTAATGCTATTCGCCGAAATCAACGATCGTTCTGTTTCAACTGAGACTCGCACTATAAAATCAGTGAGCTGAGTTTCAAGGTAAAATAAGCAGAAACGAAACGGCAGCTTCAACAAAAGAGAAATTTCTTTTCGAAAGCAACCGGGATCGAATGTCGTCCTTTTTAAAAGCCAGTCGTAAATTTTATCGTTTTTAGTGTTCCGTTCAGAAATGAGAAAACGGAACGCTAGAGGCCATAACACTAGGGTACAGTAAAGTTGACCTACTTGATGTTATGAGAGTACATTTTTCTATAAATAAAAATTATACTGATAAAATACTTTCAATAATAGTAACTAGTATTGATATGTAAAATAAAGCTGTTATAGTATATTTTATATGTAAAACTGTTCCAAATGTACTAACACTTATAATGATTTTTGATAAACAAAATCACTTCAAATGTTCACCGGAAAAATGTAAGCATCTAAGTTGTACACAGCCCCATTACTTTCCAATCAAACTTGCACAATAAAGCTGCTACCAAAACACCTAATCAACGTAGAGGGTTTACGACACTGGGGATGCATGGGGAAAACTTAACGGATATGGAATAAATTTACGACTCGATTACCGAATAAATTTCACCGATAAGAGCTTATAAGTTTTTGGTTTTATATTGTTTTGGAAATGTTTCTTCGAAGATAAGAATCAACAGTTAACTGTTAAATTTATTTATATAAGCCTCTTGAGGTTGAGGTTAAAAATAGAAGTTTTTGATTTTTATTTGCATATTATTATTATTATATGCTACGCCAATTTTTGATTATGGTCAATCATCGTAATGATAACAGTATTTTAATCATACTAGTTAATTTATACATTTCAATGTCATAGTTTCCAAACTGAGCAATGCAACGTCCAATATATATTTTTTTTCTATCAGGAGTCTCTTGCATTCGAGTAAACAGCAAACAAAACCTTATGCGGAAAATTTCAAGTGAAAAGATATATGGTTTATTTTTGTTGTTTGAAACGTTTGAAGTTGTTCCTTGCGATTTTCGCCCCGTCAACGTGGCCCGACCAAATTTATAGCTATTTGCTGTTCAGACTTTCTGTTTTCACATGTCATGGTTTGACTTTCAAAACGCAAACTTACTCATAGCTGTTTTCAGAATATTTCTCTCTGCATTTAAGTAATCTGGTAAAATAGTTCCATGTCCGATATGACAAAAGTTTCTTGTTTTATACATATTCAATTTCTCATTTAGATTTTATTTTCATCGATAAATCCACGTTTATATAATTATTAATTAGCACAAACTATACTTACTTAAATAAGAGAACCATTTCATCGATTGCCACTTATTTGCATAATTTTCATAATTTTAATATGAACAAACATGTGCAAGATGTGAGTATAGACCCATCTATTCAACACACCAAAAAAACTCTCACGGATTTTGTTGTCTTACTCCATAAACGTGATTCTACTAATTTTTCCTGTAAATACACACGGTAGGTGTTTATCTGTACGTAGCGATAATTTTCTTGAGCAACATTCGCTGTGCTGAAGCATAATGGTAGCATTAAACCACCACCCACGAGTGTAGAGCAAATTGCATTTGCCGACATAGGTACGTATTTTACAATCAAATGTTGATTTGCGCCGAGCTGCCAACACTGCATTAGGGTACATAAATTTGCTTGCTTAAACGATAAACTTATGCGAGGAAAGGATCTAATACGAAATTGTTTCAGAATGGTAACCAGCGGCGTTGAACGTTAATTTATTACCGTCCGACACAGAACAGGTCAGAGCTTAAAAGTTACATAGTATCAATTCCAACTTATAATCCCGACGGGACTCCATCAAAACTCCAGCCGGAGTATAATGAGAATTCTCCAAATTACATAACAAACCTTTCGTGAGTAACAGTTGTAAGAAAACCAGCATTATAGTAGACAAACACGAAGAAAAAGTTGCCTTCGGAATGTTACAAAGAGCCTTTTCTTTCTAGGAAGTGCTTAAAGTAAATTAAAAGCAAGCGAGGCGTGTTTTTCAGTTTCAAACGTATAATCTAACAATCGGTTAGAGAACGGACAATTATTCAAGTGATAAAAGTACACGGAGGCGTGAGGCAACCTTGGTCGGAACAGTATAGTAAGTTAGCAACAACCCGACTATATGTAAGTTGTAAAAAACCCAACAAAAACTAAGTCCGCAGTTCGCTCGCCGTTCAGATTATAATGATCCGAAACTCCGCCCTAAGTTAATTTTGTTATTTTTTTAGTCGAGACTGTACACGAATTTCGTTCCTATTATCCGACTCCGACGTTATTGATTTCACAATCGTCTAATTTTAATATCATCTCGTGACTGATGGGTAATTATGATGATTTGTAATCTAAACTGTGACATTATAAATGATACAATTGTAATAATCGTTTCCGCATAGCTTTGATGAAAAATTTCCTAAGAGGTATCTTTAGATGTTTTTATCTGATGAGGGGCATGATCAAGCATTTTCCTGAAAAATTCGTTTTAAGATCAGTGGTGGAATGACCTAAGATTACCATTTCCTAGTAGTGAGCGGGTGTCACACAAACGTAGTGCTATACAAGCTGCACGTTTATATCGATGACACACACGAGAGAGGCCACTCACACAGATGAGACGACTAAAAATATTACGGGTTGACATTGAAATGTTAATGCACTCTCGGGGCACGCCGGCGCATTTTACAGATATTTCGCTTGAATATAATAAAGTCGATTCGATTTTTATCCCGTTTTATAGATTGTTTTGATCGATACAGCTTTCTTTTCAAATGATAACACACATTAGAGTGCATTTAATGCTACATGGAATGAAAATTCTGCGTGGTGTCGTTGCTCCCTGATTGTATTAGCACGTCACAACTACTGCAGTTCATTTATCTTTGGCCAGTTTGATATTTGCTCGTTTGTTTTATTCATTACTATCAACGTCCATGTTAAATGGTACGTTAACGTTTAAGTAGTCATCCTTTTCGTTTTACGAACGCTAAATTAAGTCGACTCTCCGAGCGTTATTTTCGTTAGTGATGGATTTCTGTAACGCGTGTTATTCCCCGGTTTTTTTTTTCATTAGACTGGGATACGTGACCTGATGCACTAATAGTATCTATTGCACAATATTTTATCAATATTACATTTAATTGCTTTTATATTTTTTATCGAAACACATTAATTCACTTCTAATGAGTTAGATATTCGATATTACCTTTCATTTTTATGTAATGTAATTTATCATCGAGTAATTGATGGCAATATTGTAAACACAATTGCTTGACACTCAAAATTTAAGTATATAATTGACAGGATTTGTTAACGTACACCTACTTTCTGTTTATATTTCACTTCACGTTTTAAAGTTAACATCAGCCGATTAAAAGACCACGTGAGATTTTGTCCGACTCTTCTGGATCAGATAGTATATTATATATCATCACATCAGGCTTATGACTTATGACTTGTTTATTTGGAGAATTTATACGTTCAATTATAGTAATTCATGCCTTTTGCGATATTCTTCAGTATTTGAGATGGCTGCATGAAACGTGGTGATTATTTTTTTGCTATTATTAATTGTTCATACACGGAAACTGCCTATTGAATGATCTGTTTTATTTTTATAATTTAATCTAGGACGTAGCTAATACAAAACATGTTTACAAAAATATAATTTAGGCTTATGACGCCTCATTCCGAGATTACGTTGTTGGGTAGGTACGCAATATTTTTTCATCTTATTTACTTAAGTTGTATTATTGCGTATTTTGGTATTACGGCCTGAATATGTTGTCGATGTTTATTATATTATTGGTCTAGCGATCTATTCGATTTATTTTTATCAGCTAGAATATTAGCCTGGTTTGTTATGATTTTATAAAATTTTGTTTACGTTCCATATGAATGATAATCTATCGTAGATTATTAATATATGTGACGTTATTGATTTTATATTAATATATGATTATTGGTATCCTGAAAAATTTTTACGAATTATTCGGCCTGGATTCCTATTCCTATTTTAAGAGTTGAAAATTATTTTGATATTTTTTTAGCACCATTTTATTTTTGTTAATTGTTAAATCACTTGAATATTTTTTTTAATGTTTTTGGTACAGACTAATATCCCTAATCCCTAACTCTTACCTGTGTAGCGTCCGTGTATGGAGTGGACGAATTTTTGTCCACCAGCTGAGAACCGAACACGACTCCGCTCGAAGTCGGCGTCATCGATCTCACATCCGACACTTGTTGGGGCACCATTTTCGTTTATCCAAAAAAAACCCCGAAAAATAAAAACTTAACACAAAAAACACAGTTCACCTATTGCACTTAAAATTAACACTAAAGATTATTTTGTTCAAGTCCAAAATTAAAATTGTCCAAAATTTATAGCAGTCCAAAGGGGGCGACTAGGAGCCTCTGTTTGTTCCCGTACCGAAGCCTCTCGGCGGACGAAGCACCGGAGACTTCCCAGTATCTGGATACTATTCTCGACGCTTTCTCTTCTAGATTGTGTCTGCTGCTGTCTTCTTCGCCGGCGATCGGTCCAAAAGTCATAATTTTAACGTGTCCCGACCGCAGCTCAGTTAGTACTGCGGGGCGATCGTAGCATAATCAATCGGGAGCGATGCGGCTACACGTTCGCACTCCGCGATGACAGCGAACCTACTAACTGAACGGCAACATGCGTCCCACTGTCAATATACCCGCGCGCTCAGCTGTTTCTCCCTGCCCCGCGCCGCGCAAGCGCCCCTCACGCCCCCCGCTGATCATTCGCGCTCTGACAACCGTAGTTAATGTACGTATGCACTCTCCGAACGATCGGCCAACTAATAATTCCGACGCATCACAACACAACCGCTCGCGCTTACATTCGACGCGCTCATGATTACTCATCGCGGCTCGCTATAAAGTTAAATCTACAGTATACAGCCACTACGCACTAATGACCGCGACTCGTTTTAAATGCATATTATCCATCTGACATTTTTTTTTCTATAAGCACTCACTGAACACGGAAACACGTAACTGACAAATATGGTATAGTAATGTGTGCCGACATTGTAACATCGATAAAAACTAGCACCCAAATTGGTGTGATAATTATTAGTTGTGTATATTTCAGAGACAAATATAGAAGCTAGTTTTTAATAGATAAACGTAACTTTATATATATATATATATATAATTAGTTATTACCCTTTCAAAATAATTTCTAGATATTTCAGTTAAAGGTTGAAATAAATTAGTTGACTGTGTTTTAATTAAAAAATAGCTCGTGTCGATAACTTAGTACGTATTATCGAAATGATTTTTTTATCTGGAGACATTAATATCATAATAACTCCCCAATGTTTTAATACCTCGACGCAAAATTAGAGTGTTATAAGTTTGACTGTAGCTTCTAAACGGATGATGAAAATACCGACAATATAATATCTAACATCAAGCTTCAACAAGCGAATTTAAGCTTCATGTTCTTTAAAAAGAAATAATACATGTCGTGTAAAAAAATCACAATAAATAAAATGAATGAAATAGAGTTCTCGTCGTTAATTAAACTAAGACCTTTCCAGTAGCCCGTTTGCGGTTTTAGATATATCAATTGTTCATAAAACTAAACCCGATTCTGTATTCTCGATAGTATGAAAGTTTCCAAGAAAATTCTGGTGTAATTTTCTGGCATTACGTAATAATTGTATGGATATTTATATCATTCGTGCCGCATTTTATTTATTAGGACCACTTCAAAAGAAGTTTGTTGAATCTTTTCCCACTTTTTATTTATACATCAAAGTCAGTGTTTTTTCGAATTTCGAAATTCAAGTAGAAAAAAGGACGGAAAATAATTATTAAATTTTGTATAATTAGGCGGTTGTTTAGTTGTAATTATTTACCCATCGAGAGGTGCTCGCGGCGCAGTGGTTAGCGCGCTCTGTCTGCGATACGGTTGTTAAGCAATTTTCGCAATGTGTAACTAGCCAACACATAAGTCCCGCCTGATTTCAATAGAAGTTGATGTTTTAACACTTTGGGTTTAGTTTATAATAAAGTACAAGAATTAAATTTTAATAATAGTTAAGTACTTTTTTGGCACGCAGGATGCGTCCAAATTCATTTCGGAAGCGGCATCCGCTTAAACTTGAATTGGTATTAACGTTTCGCGGCGTCAGTGAAGTGAGTTTCGAAATGACATATTGATAGAATATCTGAAAAACTTATGAATTAGTCAATCTTGTTTTGCATGTTGTATTTTTATTTTTATACAAAAAATGGAATCAATGGAATTCCTATAATATTATAAGTCAAGCGAATTTGAAGTGCAGATTTTTACAGTGTCACTCTGCCCTGAAAGATCGTAGGTTTGAGTCCCATCTGATGTGGATTTGTAAGCATTTTTAATTAAGAATATATAATTGTAATGTTGAATAGAAATTATTATTAATTAATTAATAAATATTGAGCAACATCACATACCTACTTTGCTCAGATTCCATGATGAGTAGCTTAAGCTTCCGTATTTTGGAGTGTCCGAGACAACGAAAGTACCACAACACCAAGACCAGGGACAAAGGTCCTTTTATTCTATATTGACTCTACAGAGAAAAGAAAACCTCAGAGATGGAGACACCTTGGACCCGGTGAACCATTCACGACAATCGTGAAAATTAAAATAAAAAACATTCGAAATTTAACATACGTGTTTAAAGTATCGCATAATAATAATAATGTTCTAATTCCAAAAATATTAAGTTATTCTTAACGTTTGAAGTTGAGTAAGAGTGTCTTTATGATAATGCGATCTATGTTATATTAAAGTAGTTACAGTTTACTGGAAAATTCTTTGAAATCGAGTGCGAGCTCGTTTAAATAAATTATTAATATTGAGTTATTAAAATTGAATATTGTTTCTTAATTTTCTCTGCCACGTACTAGATTAAATACAATAATTTTAATAGTCTTTACACTTTGAACTATGTACACACGGATTATCTTCGATTTATTATGATTCATAACTACTGTTTGTAATTCAATACATAACTACTTAGTTGATATTGTAACTGGTGTTTACTGTGGATTATGTTAATACTTATTTGACATTTTACGAATTTAATTTACAGTAATATGCCATCAGATAATGAAACACAATGGCAGATTATGTATATACCCTTTTTAAATGAAAATTAATCGCTGGCTGGACAAGTACCATTACTTTTTTGTAATTATTGACTAACCTCCCTCTGGGAAAAGAATTATTTTCCTATAAGGAGTTTAATGAATATTAAAAAGTTATATTTTACATTCTTTCTTATTGTACATACACAATCCATACTCTTATTTATTATAACCTGTAATTTAAATTTCTGTGTATATTAATAAAGCTCAAATGATGCAAGCTAACTTTGACATTCCAGGTTACCAATTGAGCTAAAAGATATTATATAAATATGGAATGGGGGGTGACAAATTAGAAAGTAGCCATGGAACCTCTGTGATTAAACGAAGCAATCCCATCGAGTTTAAAATTGATTGATTAGTCTTGACAAGGACTTTGATCTAATATAATTTATTATGCACCAGACGGAGATAATAGATAGATAGAAACAGTTTATTTATTCTACAACAAAAACAATTTAAATCCCAAAAGAAATATAAGGAAATTAAAGGCTTTCAAGGCGTTTATACGATACGTTTCAAAGCTCTATATATAATTATATTCGCAACACGCGTTTGATGTGCGAATACCAACCAATGCTTCTTTCAACACCTGTCAGAATTCTATAATAAATATTTAAGGCTTCAAAGGATGCGGGTAGGCCCAGCTGCTCGGAGTGAGGGAATAAAAAAGCAATCGTACTGCCATAAAAAAATGTTAAGCAACGTTTGTAATGGTTATTTGGGGATGGATGACAGAAAAATTGCAAATATGATAAAAATTAATAATACGTATTATTAATTTCCTTATATTTTATAAGTAATAATAATCTAAAGAAACTCGACAGTGTAGTGGACTCTGTGAGGTTTTTCTATTGTGAAACTTGTATATAATTTAAGTTTTAGCTAGGTGTAACAGAACCCTTACAAATCTAATATAGTTTTCTCATTTTTAATCACAGCTTATTTTTACTTTATTTCTTTGTACAAAACACGTACATTACATACATTTTAATTTTAGTAACTTTTTAAGAAACTCTCTTAAAGCTCGGTCATAGGATGGATGACCAAAAATTTATTATCTCGAGCTCATTAATGCTTCAGAAGATAATGTTAAGCCGCGGCCGTTAGTCCTAGCTACATCTACACTCGTTTAACGCCCATCTGTATTATGGGTTATGGCTTATCCCTATTTGACTTCATCCATACGAAACTCCAGTAGCCCAGCACATTAATAACTGATGCTGATAAGCGCACAGAAGCAAAAAGTATTAATAATTTAATATTTCGCCATTTATTAGTCATACCTTTTATAAAAAACATAATATTAGTGTAATGTAATAGGAAGTGATTGGATCACGATATGAATGCTTTATTCGCATTTAATGGTACCAACGCGTCATGTATCGAAGTTGGTAAATCTTAAGGACCGTACACAATATTCAATAAACAAACTTTTTAGTGAACAATGTTTTTTTTTTATTTTAATTTTATAGCATTATGAATCGGAAACAGTTTGGGGATGATCCTTAGAAAATTTTCGTTAAGTTACGATTTCGTTACGATAGTGACTAAGGAAATATCGAGCAAAACCTAATAGGTCTATCATCAATTTTGTAGTTTATTTTAGATTTTATACTTGTTGTGCGAAAAGAGAGACCTTATATCTGAAAAGATTGTTTTTTTTTAGCCAAGCCATTATACAACTTGTTAATTGATACAATCGTGTAAATTATTAATTATTTGCAAATTATTTCTTTTAAACATCGACTTAGGCGTATATGTATACAGCCAAGAGTACGTTAGGTTATTACGGAAATCACATTCTCCAATCGATTATGATATATTGTATTAATTGCAGAAAGTGGAAATTTGAAGTAGGCAAGTAGGTACAGAAGAAAGTTTCAGCAAGCAGTAGTGTGAACACTCCTTAACATTACCACCTAGCAATTAGAAATAAGACTCTTTGCTGGCGTTAGTCACTCGGTGTGGAGGTACTCCATTCGGTGTTCGGTGAAATGACATCATTATCCTTGACCCAGTGTCCGTCGCTCGTGACTCATGATATTTTGTGCGATTTCAAATTATCACACCACGGACGCAGAAAGTTGGATGGGTACTGATGCAGGGTGAGATCGTGGCGAATGGTACCATTCGAATTGTAATATGAAAATGCCGATTGGCGGACTGATTCTATTGTAAAGTTCATTCTGCTTTGAGTATTATATGTATAAACGTTTTATATTATGTGTAATATATACATATACGAGGGTCAAACTGAAAGTTCTTAGAAAATCAAAAACTGATTACATTAGCCAGTTATTAGTTTTATTATATCTTTTCAAAATATTGTCCATTCACGTCAATACACCGCTGCATGCGATGGAACCACTGGGAAAAGCACTTTGCCCACTCGTCCTTAGGGGTCTCTTCAATGGCATCGCGATACGCAGCCACCGCTTCTTCAGCATTCATAAACCGCTTTCCTTTAAGTTTTTCTTTAATTTTTGGAAATAAATAAAAATCACAAGGCGCGAGGTCGGGGCTATACGGCGGATGACCCAGTAATTCAACGTTTGATGTCGCCAAATAGTCGATCGTTCGCTTGGCGGTGTGCGACGAGGCGTTGTCGTGGTGAAGGAGGATCCTACTGCGAGGTCGTTTCTCTCGAACTTTTTCCAAGACAAGTGGCAAACAATTGGTAGTGTACCATTCTGCAGAAACTGTTTTT